CCTCATCTTAGGCTTTAACACGGTAAAGCAATTTCAAAAGCTATTTTTAATATTTCTAAATCTTTTATTAAAATAGTACCTGCCATAAGGTTTGTATTCACACTTGAGCTGAGCATCTGGTTGTGTTTTTTTACAGACTTCCTGCTGGAGTGTATGTATGGGGTTTTTAAACTTTTTAGCAGGTGTCTTTGCTTGAGCTTTTTTTTTTTTGTTTTTTTTAAGCTAATAGGTCATTGCTAGGGAGAAAAATTAAATTTTCCAGGCGTTCCCATTAAAGTCTATTGGGACCAAAAATGCTTGACGCTTATAGTTTAAAAGAAGCTCATGTACCTTTTGAGCTGCAAGCTCGCACTACACTTTTGTACAACTGGAAACTAAGGCATTATGGATATTAAGTGTTTTGGAGCTTCAAGCTGGGGTCTAACATGGTTTTTTTCCAGGTTCTTCCTGCTAAAAAGGTAATGCAGGCCCTACATGGGTCAAATTCCGAGTGAATTTTCATTAGAAAATAGGAAATTTTGTATGTTTGGTAAATCAATGATGCCACCATTGATTTTGAAATTTGGCCAACCAAGCTATCGATTTCACATGTTGCTACAGCAAAGAATTTTCATGGCCAAGAAATGTTTTTTTTTTTCCAGGTCACAGCTCATGCTTCTTTCTTTTTTGATTATATTTATTGCACAATTCTCCCATCATTGATTAGAAATACGTTCGTTTTTTCAAAAAATTTCCAACATGCCTGATCACTCAAATTCGAAAATTGGCTGTTTCTGTGGCCCACTAATGGTGCGAAATTCAAAGGAAAATTCTTGGAAAAAATTTTCGAAAGAAAAATTCTTTCGGAATTCAAACCCGTGTATGGCTGGCTTTAGAGTGCTCTGTCTCTGCCTGCCAGTTGTGTGTCTGCATCATCACCTGCACTGCTGGCAAACCATAAATTGCTGTTTCAACACCTGCATGACCCACCGTCTTCACTGTTGAGAGACCCTCCCCAGGAAATACTAGGCAACTGTTGCTGGAGGGCATGTAGAATATAAATGAGTGCAGGAGATTAGCAACACTGAAATGTAACCAAGAACAAAAACAAGGTGAAAACAAGCATTTTATTTTATAAAAGGTAATTGCTTATGACACTGTGTGCTGTAGGAAATTAAATGTCATTTAGTCAGGATTTACATCTATTTTAAGGTTTATTTGCACAGATACAATTACCTCCCTCAGGCGTTTTGGGGCGTAAGATTTCACCAACACTTAAGAGGTCTTCATTGAATGAATGTGACAAGCATTTGTCCAGCCACCATGAACTTTGTCCATATTTTATGTCCTACAGTGATTTCCTGTGATCGTTGGCTCCATCTAGTGGTCATAATGTAATATTGCTTTTTTGTTTTGTTTTTTTCTGATGGAGGTATTTCTGGAAAAATACCTCATTATGTTCACTAGATGGAGCTGACAATCATAGGAAATCACTGTGTTCATTCAGTTATAGCCAGAATTTATCATGGCTGGGCAGCACAATGGCCGTATGGTTAGCACTTCTGCCTGGCAGTACTAGGGTTGTTGGTTCGAATCCCAACCACGGCACCACCTGCCTGGAGTTTGCATGTTCTCCCTGTGCCTGCGTTGGTTTCCCTCAGGTACTCTGGTCTCTTCCCACGCTCCAAAGACATGCTGGGAGGTAAATTGGCCCTAGTATGTATAAATGTGAGTTAGGGGCCGTAGATTGTATGCTTCTTGGGGGTGGGGACTGATGTGAATGTACTATATCTATGTAAAGCGCTGCGTAAATTGACGGCGCTATATAAGTATCTGAAATAAATAATATTTATTGCATGTTCTCCCTGTGCTTGCGTGGGTTTCCTCCGGGTGCTCCGGTTTCCTCCCACACTCCAAAGACATGCTGGTAGGTTAATTGGATCCTGTCTAAATTGGCCCTTGTATGTGTATGTATGAATGTGAGTTAGGGACCTTAGATTGTACGCCCCTTGAGGGTTAGGGACTGATGTGAATGTTCAAAATATATATATATATATATATATGTAAAGCACTGCATAAATTGACAGCACTATATAAGTACCTGAAATAAAATAAATATAAAACATCCTAGTGTACCTAGGGCATCACTGACCTGAAACAAGCATTCAAGTTTTTTTTTGACTTAATGGACTGTATGCTTCTAGCATGTCTGTGATGAACTGTCCTGCTACCCAGCCAATCATATTGCTTCTCTCTAGAACAGCCTAGCTCAACTTTTTTTTTTTACACTAGAAGAACCCCTAAAACTTACTAAAACCATTTCACTGGGAAACATGGCCCTTACATTGGTAGTCAGTAGGAAGAATGTGACATTGGCCCTGCAATTATCCATGCATCATCAAACTGGAGGTCAACCAGCCACAGCTGAAGGAACCCCTAGTAATGTCTGGAGGAACCTTGGTTGAGAATGTCTGCTCTATAAATATTCAATAATAGGAAGCAACACATCCAAATATCTTCATGATACTTTATTTGCAGTAAAAAGATTTAAATGGTACATGTACTCAAATAAGCATTAATGTATAGGTTGTGATGGGCTGAATGCAAAATTATCTGACAGTGTCCGTATAATCCCAGAAAGTATGTAGGATTTTAGGCATTAATAGAACAGTTTTCTTCTGCTTGTAAAAAGACAGAATGTAAATCAACCAACTGCACTGTTTTTCCAAGAGAAAGCAACACAGAATGGACATGCTGCATGCTCACACACTGTTGGTATCCATGTGTGTGACTCTCCTCTCCCTGTATAGTGCAGTGTCTACGTGAAACCTCCCACTTCTCCACCTATGAACCGATTACTGCTGACACCAAGGATGCCAATATGTGAACCTTTTGATCAATGGGAGAGATTTTTGAAAAGTCTAAAAACAGAGTACCAAAAAATAAAAAAAATACAAATCTGCCAATAATGATTCGGAATATGCCGAGAGTGTTCTCATGTTGCTTACAAAACCCCATAAATGATTTTTGCCCACATTCACACAACGAATGTTCACAATTCACAGGATGAATAGCTCTGTAAACTTTTTAATTCTTGAATCATAAATATATAGGATTTAGCACAAGTATACATTTATATGACCTATCCAGCCATTATGCCAATATTTATTGTTTTGTAATAAAATCATTTTATACATCACTTACAAATCCATATTTTTTACAAATATAAAAAAATTGGTGTCTTTGGCAGTTTAAAGCCCAACTCCAGGCATTTTTTTTAAATCTTTAACACTCACATTAAAACTGTAATGTGTTCATTATTTTGGGAGCTCTCTGTAAACTCAGCTGGGAGTTCTTGATATGTACAACAGGGGGGCACACTTTCTGCTCCCCATTGTATTGGAATGATGTCTATGATCGACCCCAGTTCTAGTGGTGTCCCAGCTGGACAGTCCTCATTGTACTGCGCTTTGTGAATAGTAGAGCCGAGGTAGAAGGGTGGAGGCACAGCACCAGAACTGAAGTTGATTGAACACCTTGTCCTAAAGCAGTGGGGAGCTGGAAGTTTGGCACCTCACTGTACATATCAGCAGCTCTCATTGAAGCTTAGAGAACCCTGAAATTTATTTTTTCAAATGATAGTTTTTTATGTATTAAAGCAAAGCTAAAGGCAAAAATACTTACCTCTGTTCCAACAGTTCAGCACCCGTGAGGTCCATTGCTGGTTCCAGCATCCTCTCTCCAGCTTCCTCTGGGTGCCGGTCTTAGGCCAACCTTGATTGGTTAGCACAGAATGACATCAGATTGGTTAGCACAGGATGACATCACTCCCGCGCATGTGCAGGAGTGCAGATATCCTGACACATAAGCGCTGTGCTGGAATGTATACTGACCTGTGCAGCACAGCGTACGTTCAACAGAGGATGGTGAAGGCACGTAGGTGTCTTTCATTTTTTTTAGTTTTAGATAGAATAGAGAAGGGCTAGAACCCCTGGCACGTTTTTATTAAGCCATGCATTAAATTAAAGGTCTGTGGGATAAAACACATCAGGAGAGCCTGCAGGAACTTGATATGTACAGTCTGGAGGACGGGGGGGAAATGATTGATACCTCGGAACAGGGGTGGACTGACCATTTGGAAACTCGGGCACTGCCCGAGGGCCCGGGGTTAGTAGGAGGCCCCATGAGATGCCCCTGGTACCTTTTTCATAGGCTTTTTTGAGTTTGGGCAAGGACACAGGGGCCCCATGATCCCCTATTGCCCGGGGGCCCATGAGTTGTCAGTCCGCCCCTGCCTCGGAATACATGAAGGGTGTGTGAACGATATTCAGGAGGGTAGTATTTTACCATGAAGACAAGGCAACGAACACGGGGACATGACCTCAAACCAGCAGGAGGAAAGTTCAAAACTAATCTTACTTTACCAAAGGAGAAGTTAATGCCTGGAGTAGACTTCCAGCAGACAGATAAAAAAAAATGATGGGGGTTCTGGCTTTCCTCTACTGTACTTGAAGACAAGAAAAGCTGTAATTGCTGTCTGTGTCCCCCCTCCTTGGAGATTTCCCCTTCCTTTCCTGTCTTGGTGACACATCACTGGAGCAGAAAGTGAAGGAACATTTTCACAAGGGAGCCACAAAAGGGAGTAAAAAACTGACCAGGGTTCAAACCCTTCACCACTCTAACCTAAAACTAAAAACAAAAACGTTTTGGCTGGAGATGCAATTTAATGAAGAATATTGTAATCCTGAAAGGAGTGATTGGGTGGCAGCACAGAGTTCTTCTGTAGACAATTTAATTCTTAGCACAGTGATTAGAAGGAAATATTTCGGGCATTGGCTGGTGGACACTTCTTGGGTGGATATGACGGTTCCACAGCTCCTCAGTCTGACTGTGTTTCCAAACTGCTGGCTAACCAGGATCTCAGTGATTGGTCGGTTCCTTGTGTTTTGGCAGATGTGGCACAAGTACTACAGATGTGTCATTTCTTCTTTTAGATGTTTATGTAGAACAGAGCAGCCAGCTCAGATGACTATAAGAGTGGATCTCCGGGTCCGTAACCTGAAGGAAAAAACACATTTGACTATATTTTGATTTGAATTTTGCTTGGTAAAGACTACAGCATCTTTTTCTTATGGGGGGGGGAGGTCAGCCTGAATCTGTCTGGAGTGATAGATCGGCCAAAGAGTGATTGAAGTTTGTTTTATTGGCCTACAGAAGGTATAGTGTTTCAGGGATCCCATTTCTGGGCTACCATATGTTATTAAAGATATACGTTTTCAGGACCCATTATAAGCAATGAAATACGACCACTGAGAAAATACAAATATTCATACTGATGCACAGAGTAGTATTGGCTATTGTAAAGGGTCAGGCTATATACAGTAGACAGTAATCAAGGCTTAGAAGTGTTATTGATGGTTATATTTCATTGCTCCTTCTTGTACTCTGTATACATAGGTGGCTTTTAGAACCATTCTCAGAATTTAATGAAGCCTGAAGAAGGAACCTAACTGCTCTGGAATGCTTGCATCTTTATTAATCAAAATCTGAACTCCAGCCTTCCCTTCAGTCTTGCACAGTTGTACGGGCTCCTCTCCTCTACTGAAACTGCTTACTCTCATTTCACTGCACACTGTGAGATTTCTCATTATGCATTAGAAGATTCAGCAAATCAGATAGAGCCCACCTCATTTCCTGGCCATGGCCATCTTAATAGCATTAGGGCCCCTAGGCAAAGTAATGTTCTGGGGCTCCTACCAGCCTGCCTCAATTTACGCACCTACCCTCAAGAATTATTCAAGTATAAATAGTTGAAAGAATTAAAAAATATATTTTTTAGTACTTTCAATAGAATTGATTTTAAACAATAAGAAAACATGCCATAAATCAAAGACTAATCAACACAAAGGGCACAGTGAGGGGGAGGGGGGGGTACAGAAAGGCATAGTACAGGGGAAGTCAGGAATGCTCAATACTGGGATCAGCAGTGGACAATACAGATTCTGTGACACTTCCGGGACCATCCTGGGACAGCTTAGTAAAAAGTGTGACTGTCCCAGCAAATCTGGGACAGTTGTCAAGTATGATGTAATGCAAGATTATCGTGGGGCTCCCATGCACCTGGGGTCCCTGGGCTATGCTCAGGGGTGCCCATGCATTAAGATAGCCCTCTTCCTGGCTGGAGCATGTCCATTCCCCACTGACCCAACCCCCCCCCCCCCAAACCTGACTGTCTTGCAAGCCCCTTTCATTTTATTGGATTTCAGTTCTTTCAAGCATGGAGGCTCAGCATCACCTGTGAGCTTTACAAAGGGTGGTCTGCATGCTAAAGCAGTCTGCCTAGGAACATCCTTTATTCCAGACTGACATCCACCCATCAAAACAGATTGCTAATTGAATAATTCCTCCCAAGAGCCATTCCACTGCTTGAATTATGGCTGAGGACTATTGAAAGCAGTACTGAGGTAGGGTGTTGTGATCTTTTCTGGAAGTTATGTACAGCATCCTGACGGTCCCTAACACTGTTTATGATCTGCCTGCATTGCATAGAGAAAATCAGGGACCCATTGATATCACTTGGTCCAAAATACAGGGGTTGGACAAAAAAAATGGAAACTACGTAATTTGCAGGTGTGAAATTGACAACATGTTTCGCGTTGAAAGCAGAAGTGTTGTAACATTCTTTTGCTTCTGCTGTGTGATGAGACACCTAGCTAACTGGTGCAAAGCCTTACTTTCATCATTCACTGCGTGTGCTGCTAGTAAATGCGAAGTCATGTCAGAGCTTACTGAGCTTCAAAGAGGGCAGACTGTTGGTGCCCACTCAGCGGGTGCCTCTGTGAATGAAGCTGCCAATTTCTTTGCCATGTCACAAGGTACAAAGGCTATGCCGGCATATACAGTTTCCAGGAAAATTTTGTCTGATAAGCATAAGCGCGGTCAACATGGTCAACTGACTGAAAGAGACAAAAGGACATTGCGCAGGAACAACTGTTGCCAAAGTGATTGCAGAGCTCAACCTCAGTCTTCCACAGCTCGTGTTCACACAAATGGTGTGGAGGGACATCCATAAGGAAAACATTCACTAGGAGCTGCATTTGCCAAACCACTAGTGACTGATATTAATACTCAGAAGAGGAGAGAGTGGTGCAATACCCATGAATCATGGACTATCAATCCATGGAAGACTGTAATATGGTCCAATAAACCGAGCTTCACACTGTTCACAACCACCGGATGTGTTTACATGCGGTGAACACCGTCCCAAGCTTACAACCAGGACTGTCTTGTGCCAATGGTAAAGCATGGTGGTGGTGCAATCATGGTTTGGGCAGCTATATCTGGGTATTCTGCAGGGCCCATCATCACCTTGAAAGTTAGAGTCACTGCCAGTGGCTATATTAAAATTTTGTCTGACCATGTGCACCCCATGGGACCGACATTGTTTCCTGAAGACACCGCTATTTACCAAGGCGATAATGCTCCAATTTACACAACTGGTGTTGTCAAATCATGGTATGATCGGCATGCAGATGAGGTCTTGCACCTTCCTTGGGTGCTGCAGTTTCTAGACCTTAATATCATAGATCCACTATGGTCAATTTTGAAGAAGAAAGTTCCAGCTCATTTTCCGCCTTTGGCATCTCTACCAAAAGATTTTTGTACGAAGAGTGGTATTAATTTCATTATCCACCACCCAAGACTTTTATTTGTCAATTCCCCAAGAAATTCAGGTCGCCTTGTATGCCACAGGCGGTCCAACATCATATTAGGTATCAACGTCATTCTTTTACCTGGTGTTTCCATAATTTTGTCCAGCCCCTGTAAATTATGTAATGAAAACTGAAAGGCTGTATTTAGAAAATGTGATTAGCATGTTGATGAGGAGAGGAAAGGAGGAAGCAGGGAAGACAAAATATAAACAGATACGATCTCATCTTAAGTTAGCCAATATACGATATCAAACTGCAGCATTTTCCACATTGCACTGTATCTTATTTAGATACCACCCACACATGTCAAATTGGGAGCGGTGTTTGTGACTATGCAGCCGCTGCATCCCGACTGACTTGAAATTGATAAAATTCATTGATTAGATTTAAATGAAAAAAAAAAGTCATTACCAGATTCACCTAATTTAAGAATAAACTATTTTTTTATCTATTTACTAAGCCACCTTATCTCCTTCTCTAAGACATAACATAGAGAATTTATTGAAGGTTAGATGTATTCCACCTTTGTGATTTCTACTCCCCAATTACCTCATTACATCAAGAGCAAGCTCTGTCTCCTTTCTTGTGTCTTCTGTGATTGGGTAGAAGATCAGGATGAATAAACCAAGAACGATGAGCACAGCTGGGACTGCACCAATCAGAATCTGGAGTGTCAGGACCACGAGGTAGGGCTGCTTGCATGCCGCACTGCTGTAACCAGCAAATCTGTCATATGAAAAACAAGAAAAGCTAAAATTAATATGTGTGAGAGCTTCATTAAAATGAAGCATGACATTAAGCCAGGCACAGGAAACCTACGGCACTGTAACTGCCAATGGGAACCACAAGTACCAGAATTCCAACTGGCTGGGGATGCCAAGACCTACTGTTATTACAGGAGTTCAACCATACTGCTGTAGTCACAAAGCATGTTGCGTTTTCTTAGAAGCCCAACACAATCTACTTGCCTGAAAGAAGTGTATTCTATTGATGTTAATATATCAAATGGCATGTCTGTGAAGGTTCTCCTTTATCCAGGTAATGATATGGTTGGTCACATACATCTGGACTTATTCTATTATAGTGAGGATGTTTCATAGCTTCTCCAAATCACTTCCTGAGGTCTTAGGCTTGAGTAAAAGGCTGAGATAAGCTTTGAAGTGTCTGAACATTACAGAACAATTCCAATTGAATGTGATTATTATAAAGATAAGTAAGGAGACATGCACTTGATCCAGCCGCTCTGACAATGGAGGGCAACCATATACTGAAGAAGCAATAAAGAAGAGAAAAAGCACCCCTTCCAGAATTCCAGAAAAGGGATATTCTTGAAATATTTGCCTTGCTCTCTGGACCTTCACCTTTTAGCCCTGGTTCACGTATATGCGTTTTTTGGATGCAGTATGAACTGTCCAAATTCGGATGATAGTTACATAGTCTGGCTGAAAAAGGACAAAAGTCCATCCAGTTCAACCACAAAAAAACAAAAAAAAAAGTTATAATACTACACCCACAGTTGATCCAGAGGAAGGCAAAAAAAACCCAGCAAAGCATGATCCAATTTGCTCCTTCAGGGGGAAAAAAAGCCTTCTTGATCCCCTGGGAGGCAATCGGATATTCCCTGGATCAACCTTACCTATAAATGTTAGTATCCAGTTATTTTCTGTGTATCTAAGAAACAATCCAGGTCTTTTTTTAAAGTAATCTACTGATCTGGGCAGAACCAACTCTTGAGGGAGTCTATTCCACATTTTCACAGCTCTCACTGTGAAGAAACCTTTCTGTATTTGAAGATTAAATTTCTTTTCCTCCAGACGTAAAGAGTGCCCCCTTGTCCTCTGTGATGACTTCAGGGTGAATAACTCTACACTGAGTTCACTATATGAACCACTGATGTATTTATACATTTTGATCATATCCCCCCTTATGTATTATACATGTTGATCATATCCCCCCTTAATCTCCTCTTCTCAAGAGAGAATAAATTCAGTTCCCCAATGTTCTTTTTGTGAATTGGTGCCCAAAACTGAACTGCATATTCCAGATGAGGTATTTTATTTTATTTATTTTTATTTTATTTATTTCAGGTACTTATATAGCACTGTCAGTTTACGCAGCGCTTTACACATACAGTTGTGTTCACAATAATAGCAGTGTTGTTGAAAAAAGTGAATAAAGCTCAAAATCCTTCTAATAGCTTTTATTTCCATACACACAAATGCATTGGGAACACTACACATTCTATTCCAAATCAAAACGTGAAGAAAAAAATATATCAAATTTGTGTTGTTCCTCTAAAAAAATTGAAGAAAAGTGAATATTAGACTGTTCAAAAAAAATTGCAGTGTTTGTATTCTTCTTTACAAACAAACATTCACTATATAAACTGAAAAATGTTTGAAGATTTTGCTTTCCTTTGAATGACTTAATGAATATTTAGTTGTATAAGCACTGTTTCTGAGAACTGCTGTAATCTGTGTTGCATGGAGTCAACCAACTTCTGGCACCTGTGAACAGGTATTCCAGCCCAGGATGATTGGACTACATTCCACAGTTCTTCTCTATTTATTGGTTTTGCCTCAGAAACTGCATTTTTGATGTCACCCACAAGTTTTCTATTGGATTAAGATCCGGGGATTGGGCTGGCCACTCCATAACGTCAATCTTGTTGGTCTGGAACCAAGATGTTGCACGTTTACTGGTGTGTTTGGGGTTGTTGTCTTGTTGGAACACCCATTTCAAGGGCATTTCCTCTTCAGCATAAGGCAGCATGACCTCTTCAAGTATTCTGATGTTTTCAAGCTGATCCATGATCCCTGGTATGTGATAAATAGGCCCAACACCGTAGTATGAGAAACATCCCCATATCATGATGATTGCACCACCATGCTTCACTGTCTTCACAGTGTACTGTGGCTTGAATTCAGTGTTTGGGGGTCGTCTGACAAACTGTCTCCGGCCACTAGACCCAAAAAGAACAATCTTACTTTCATCAGTCCACAAAATGTTGCGCCATTTCTCTTTAGGCCAGTCAATGTGCTCTTTGGCAAATTGTAACCTCTTCAGCACGTCTTTTTTTCAACAGTGGGACTTTGCGGGGGCTTCTTGCAGATAGCTTGGCTTCACATAGGCGTCTTCTAATTGTAACAGTACTCACAGGTAACTTTACACCTTCTTTGATCTTCCTGGAGCTGATTGTTGGCTGAGTCCTTGCCATTTTGTCTATTCTTCTATCCATTCGAATGGTAGTTTTTCGCTTTCTTCCACATCTTTCAGGTTTTGGTTGCCATTTTAAAGCATTTGCGATCATTTTAGCTGAGCAGCCTATCATTTTCTGCTCTTCTTTATATGTTTTCCCCTCTCCAATCAACTTTTTAATCAAGGTACGCTGTTTTTATGAACAATGTCTGGAACGACCCATTTTCCTCAGAATTTCAGAGAGAAATGCACTGTAACCAGCATGTACAACATTTGCTGCCTTCCTTCCTTAAATAAGGGCAATAATTGCCACCTGTTTTTCAAAGAATGAATGACCTCACTAATAGAACTCCACACTGCTATTATTTTGAACATGCCCCTTTCAATTAATGATCAATTACACAGAATCAGCAGCATGCATGTCATGACTGTTGGGTCTGTTGGATTTCTATTACTCTACTACACCTGCTAGTAAATTATTTGCCATGCAGGAAATATCATTTCTACCAAAAACAGTGATTGATCAGGTTAGTGATGTCTGACTGCTAATATTTTGAACACAACTGTATATATTGAACATTCACATCAGTCCCTAACCCTCAAGTGGTGTACAATCTAAGGTATATTCCAGATGAGGTCTTACTAATGATTTGTACGGGGGTAATATGATATCTCTCTCTCTGGAGTCTATACCTCTTTTAATACAAGAGAGGATTTTGCTCGCTTTAGAAACCGCAGCTTGGCATTGCTTGCCATTGCTTGCCATTATTTAGCTTGTGATCTACCGGTACCCAGTTGTACCCCCCTAGTATGTATGATGCATGTATATTCTTAGCCCTCAAGTAAATAACCTTACATTTATCACTATTAAACCTCATTTGCCACATAATTGCCCAATTAAACAGAGCATTGAGGTCGGCTTGTAAGATGGAGGACGTTACTCCACTGCAAAGACTGAAATGGGATTTTTAATCTCAGACCCTATATCGTTTATAAATATATTAAAAGTAAGGGTCCCAACACTGAACCTTGGGGTACACCACTGACAACCCTAGACCATTCAGAGTATGAATCATTAGCCACTACTCTCTGAATACGATCTTTTAGCCAGTTTTCTATCCATTTACAGTACATACAGATTTTTCCAAGCCTGTAGACTTTATCTTACACATTTAGCCGTGTGTGGGGAACTGTGTCAAACGCTTCAACAATGTGTTCCTATGGGGTGGCATTCAGATAGATGCAGTTGAGCTGCGTTTTGCAAAAACGGTCGTGTGTGACTTTTGGGTAGTGCTATCCAATTCTGCAGTTCAATTAACTGTCATCCGAATTTGGACAGTTCAAACTGCATAAAAAAAAACACATATATGCAAACCAGGGGTGAATCACACTCCAAAACTGATCAAATTGGCACCACATATATGTAAACCCAGGCTTACACAGTTTGCACCCCCTTTCCTTATTGGTGCACCCAGAGGAGGATTCTTCTGCTTTTTTCCAGATCCAAAGAGTGGGTCCAATTCTACAGAAGTGACAGCTATCTTCACAGCTTCTTCAGCCACTGGCCATGGTCCGTAGGCTGCCTCTGGTCTGATCACCAGTTGCCTGATGTAAGTGGTCTCAAGTGATGAAAGTGTGAGCTGCCATCTTGTTTTTTGTGTAATAAATCTCAGAGTTTTTTATTGTACAAGATCTGTGCATTCTTTATATTTTTTTACGCTACTTCAAATGAACTTGACTAACTACTACTAGATATGTCGGTCAATACTATTAAGGTGTTTGTCAATGGGTTTGGGTTTATGGTATCAGTTTAAGAGGCCTCAGAGATTATTCAGAATGTATTTGATGTGCAGTTGACCCCGTTTTGACTTGAATTTGACTTCCCCCAAGGCTTTTTTCATTAACATTGACCTGTATGGAAATGCAATACCTACTGGAAACTAGTAAAACCCACCAACACTTGTCCTTACTCTTTGAGTATCTATGATATAATCTAGGCCACTATAAAAAGTTTCAGCTGTAGGTAGAATGATTTGATCTCAATATACTACTTTTCTGACATAACAACAGTATAGGAAAGATGAGAGCAGAAAGGCATTATGGTCTGTGAATGGGGTCAGCCAAGCTTATAAATCCATAAAATGTCTTTAATAACACAGCGGTGATATCTTGGGTGTCTCAGCCCACCTGTATCATATATCACGTCAGAGTTAAATGACCGCAATACCATATAACAATCAGCACTTACTGCAGACTCAGTGTAGAGATTCCTAAAGCGATCCCTGCGGACAGCTTGGTGAAGAAGACGAATGAAGAGTAGAATATGGCCTCCAGTCCCTTGGCCTGAGGATTCATTAGACGGAAATTATCCACCACATCGGGAAGCATGGACCTCGGGAGATTTAATACAAAGGATAAAGCTTTATCAGAGAGGAGGAGAAGAAATCATGTTTGCAGCAAGACAGGAATGTATTGGGTTTTACGGTCTATGTGTTCATTGCTCTGGCTTCAATGGAAAATGCAGATATGTATGGCGTGTATTTTTATATGCATGTACAGTCACTGGCCACTTTATTAGGTACACCTTGCTAGTACCAGGTTGGGCCCCCTTTAGCCTTCAGAACTGCATTAATTCATTGTGGAATAGATTCAACGAGGTGTTGGAAGCATTTCTAAGAGATTTTGGTCCATCAACCAGTCTGCCCATTCTCCTTTGACATCAACAAGGCATTTTTGTCCACTGCCACTCACTGGATATTTTCTCTTTTTCGGATTATTCTCTGTAAACCCCAGATATGGTTGTGAGTGAAAATCTCAGCAGATCAGCTGTTTTTGAAATACTCAGACCAGCCCGTCTGGCACCAACAACTATCCCATGTTCAAAGTCACTTAAATTCCCTTTCTTCCCCATTCTGATGCTTGGTTTGAACTTCAGCATGTCAACTTCACCACATCTAGATGCCTAAATGCATTGGGTTGCTGCCATGTGTTTGGCTGATCAGCAATGTCTTACCAAGCAATTGAACAGGTGTACCTATGAAAGTGGCCGGTGAGCAGGGGCGGACTGACCATTTGGAAGCGCGGGCACTGCCCGAGGGCCCGGGGTCAGTAGGGGGCCCCATGAGATGCCCCTGGTACCTTTTTCATAGGCTTTTTTGAGTTTGGGCAAGGACACAGGGGCCCCATGATCCCCTATTGCCCGGGGGCCCCATGAGTTGTCAAGTCCGCCCCTGCCGGTGAGTGTAATTGTGAGTTTAAACTCCATACCCTTCCAGATAAGCTCTGCCATTTACTGCAATGTCGCAGCTCCACATTGAAACATTTCTGTGTTTAAAGAGTCAGTCCACCTAAAAGGGATATCTCAGTTATAGATGGCACCTGGTAACCATCTAGATTCTTGTATCGCTTGGTGAAGTCAGTTATAAGTCAGTTCCTAACCCCAGAAGTCAGTTCCTAACCCCCAGAAACCACTAAACAGCTCATCCACTCCCTCATCATATCACGACTCAACTACTGCAACTCCCTCCTCACTGGCCTGCCTCGCCGCTGGCTATCCCCGCTTCAGTCGATCCTGAATATGGCTGCCAGACTCATTCACCTTTCCAACCGCTCCGTTTCCGCCACCCCCCTCTGCCAATCCCTCCACTGGCTTCCGATTGCGCAACGGATCAAATTCAAGATCCTAACACTGACGTACAAAGCCGTCCACCACACTGCCCCGAACTACATCACCGACCTAATATCCAAGTACTGCCCAGCACGCACACTCCGCTCCTCACTAGACCTCCTTCTCTCTAGTTCCCTGGTCTCCTCCTCCCATGCCCTCCTCCAGGACTTCTCCAGGGTGTCACCCATCCTCTGGAACTCCCTGCCCCAACCCATCAGATTATCACCTACTCTCCTCTCCTTTAGGTGTACCCTGAAAACCCATCTCTTCAGGGAAGCCTACCCCACCCCCTGCTAACTTGCCAACCTCCTCCACTCTTCCTACCACTCCATCCCCCACAGCTATCTCCTCCTGTGCCACCATCCCCTCCCTCCTAGATTGTAAGCTTGAAAGAGCAGGGCCCTCAATCCCCTCATGTTTTGCATTGTATTGTTATTGTACTGTAGCATGTTCTGTCCCCCTTTGTAATGTACAGCGCTGAGCGAATTATTGGCGCTTTATAAATACTGTATAATAATAATAAGATATTCCTGCCATAATACCTAAATCAGTTCCCTTGCACCACTCTTGTGGTGTTTCTACTCATTCCGTTGAATTTCTAATAGTTATAGATGAGCAAATCTGCCAGATTTCGATTTGCAGAGGGTTCAGTGAATCCACTTTAAAATTCTGAAAACTTTAACTTAGTGGAAAAATCTCATTGAAGATCCTGTCTGAGATTGTATGTAAGTGCAAATAAAATAAGTATCATGGACAGTACTCAATTGTTTCTGTCGCAAGTGCACTACTACGGCTACAAATCAAGATCCTGTCTGAAAATTCACTGAATTTTTTAGGGCTAATTGAAAAGCTTTTAAAAAAAAAAAGAAATGGAAAACCGGGCACTGCCATGGGGGACATGAATCGCTGCCAAGAAAAAAATATTTAAAAATCACAGTAGGGAGAGGGTCCTTTTAACGGGGCTTCAAGGGTAACATGAAAAATACACACAGCTGTTTAAATTACAGGTTTGCAGCTGCATCTGAAGGTGTCTTCTAAAAAAATTCAGGTTAAGGTCGGTATAAATTGGCCAGTTGCACCACAGTTTGATGGTATAGTTTGTGTTCTCATTTCTTATTTTTGCATTAATGTACTGCATTTCTAAGCCTGCTGAGCTCAAAGGCCAGGCAGTGTATTTAATATCACTCAGAATTGCTGAAAGTACTTTTTATTCAGCTTTTGTATTAGCAATTTTATGGTATTTTCATCTCTAGTCTCTATTGGGCTAGGTCTGTGGGCAGGCAGAAGCTGTGGTTGGTTGTGACCTCGTTGCTCACTCATAGACTAAGATTTCCAGGCTTGCCACTCACTTTTCCTCTCCCATTCCATATACATGCTGCCCACCCAAATGCTGTCAGTAAAGCACTGCTGGGTATGTACTGTAGGACAGTATCGACAACCACTGGAACTTTTAAGGTACAGTATGCTTTGGCATGGCTAGAGCAGACCTTCCAGTGGTATATTACAAATCCTATGTGGAGTAATCATCACTAAATTAGTGAATGCAAATAATATTTATTAGATCACATAGATCATGAAAAGGTTGACATTTTATCATGGTGAACATTGTGCAATCATAAAAATAAAATAAAAACAAAAAACAAGAAAAACGCTCTGCGTTTTCCACTTAGCTGCATGTGTGTTTAATGAGCCAGATAAGAAAAGCTAAGACTGCTTCTGTATTCATCAATGGAAAGTCCAAATAGAAAATCCAGGTGTGAGTATAACTTCTATGTATAGGTATCTGTATCCTTTTCAGTTCCTCAAATAAGATTTTCAAGGCTTGTATAGTAAAACTCCTTAGTAGATGTTCAACATCATATGGTAGTATAACTGTAGATTCACAAAGTGTGGTCATGGCCAGCCGGCCGATTTTCAAAAAATGATTATAGTGGTTAGGCTTCATATTTGAAACTAAGATGTTTCCACTGATTTATTTATTTGCTTGAATATGCATTCTGAGGTTGAAAAGAGATATAGTCTCCTTAGATCTCTATGTGTCTATATGTTATTTGGTTTAAAATCCATACCTCAAACTTTAGGTGAGATGGGGATGACTTATGATAGGGTGATTACACCCCATTATGATGGCATCTTTTTTCTTATATTATGCTTTGGCCTGGCTGCCTGTAGTTCCAGTGCAGGAACTAGGGGTGACAGCACTCTTCTTTCTCCCCAGGGAGCATTTGACAGGTGGTGTATCACCTCCTCACCACCTGCTTTAACCCTTTGAACCCACTGTGCACAGTTGCGGGGCGCTTGCATAGCAGCTCTATTCACTTTAAGTGATAGGAGGTATAATTCCTGGTGCAAAGCATTGCAGCCAATGCATGTGTACACCCCCGCCATCTGCCTCTGCAGCTAAATGGGGAGCAGTTGGGGGACAGTAAAAACACAGCTTGACCACTAGTGTGAAAAAGCCCCTAATTTCCCATATGGAAAAATATATTTTAAAAATATTCTTCCCAAATATATTGACATATATCTGTAATACTACAATTTTGGCAGTATTCAATATATTTAAAAAAAATATATATGCAGTATACTGTATGTTGAAATGTGTTTTTATATACTACAAAATATATGAAAATTTTTTTTAAAAATACATTTTCAAGTATACTATATGTCTTTTAAAAATACATTTAATCTACATTTTTAGGATGCATTTACAAACATATGTAAAAATGACTTTTTTATATGTTAAAAAAAATCTGAAGAATATATTTTAAAAAAAATATATATTTTTAAAATAAAAAACACATTTCATATACTTTGTAATATATAAAAAACACATTTCAACATACAGTGTGTATATATATATATATATATATATATATATAATTTTTTTTTTTTTTTAATGTATTGAATATGGCCAAAATTTTAGTATTTTCAAATATATGTCAATATATTTGGGAAGAATATTTTTAAAATATATTTTTCTTCCATGTGGGGTATCCCTTCCATAGCTCCTGTCCTTGGTGTACAAGGACTTTCTATACATAGGAAAATGGAAAACTACATGTGACACTCACCATGGCAGGAGTAAAGAGGCAGCAATGCTAAATCCATATGTCACAGCAACCACATAAGCCACAATGAGATTCGGTATGGTGACCAGCATGATGGCAAATGGAATCATCCACTGCAAAAGAAGAAGTATTCTATAAGCAAGTGATACTCTCCCCATCAATGTACCTTATTATAATATTACCATTATACAGTTCATCTTCTGGTATATCAAAGTAGAATGACAGCTTTCCATTAAAAAAAATGATGTGCTGAGTTAAATTATAACTGTATCTGTATTCATAGTTTTCCTTTTCATAGTTCTCCTCCAAACTTCCAAATATACCTGTTAGTCCTACTAATGCCGCTTCCTGTGACGGGGTGGCAATGACACTGCACTGCTCCTGAATTCAGAGCAGAGTTGTCACTCTCAGTAGGTTGTGCTGGCTTGCACTACAGGGGGGGTGATAAGCTGTTGCAGCACAGTGGCTAAATGGTTAGCACTTCTGCCTCTCAGTACTAGGGTTGTTGGTTCAAATGCCAACCACAGCACCTCCTGCCTGGAGTTTGCATGTTCTCCCTGTGCCTGCATAGGTTTCCTCCAGGTACTCCGGTTTCCTTCCACACTCCAAAGACATGCTGGTAGGTTACTTGGCTTCTGTCTAAGTTGGCCCTAGTATGTGTATGTATGAATGTGAGTTAGGGACCTTAGATTGTACGCCCCTTGAGGGTTAGGGACTGATGTGAATGTACAATATACATGTAAATCACTGCATTAAATTGACAGCGCTATATAAGTACCTGTAATATTATTATTATTATTATTACATCGAGTTTATATAGCGCCAAAGGGTTTGCTCAGCGCTGTACAATAGAGGGGGGACAATACATGAAACAGTACAGCAACAACAAACAGCACACGAGGGGTTAGAGGGCCCTACTCTTTCGAGCTTACAATCTAGGAGGAAAGGGGTAGTGGTAAAGGAGGAAGTGGCTGTGGGGGATGGGGTGCTACGAGGAATGAAGGAGAGCGGCTGTTAGGTGAGGGTGGGGTAGGCTTCCCTGAATAGGTGGGTTTTCAGGGAGCGCCTGAAGGTGAGGAGGGAAGGTGACAGTCTGATGGATTGGGGTAGTGAGTTCCGGAGGATGGGGGAGGACCTGGAGAAGTCTTGCAATCATGCGTGGGAGGAGGAGACCAGGGAGCAAGATAGAAGGAGGTCCTGTGAAGAGCGAAGGGTACGGGTAGGGTGGTACCTGGGAATCAGGTTGGTGAGGTAGTTAGGGGCAGTGTTGTGAATGGCTTTGTAGGTCAGAGTGAGTAGTTTGAATTTGATGCGTTGGGCAATAGGGAGCCAGTGGAGGGATAGGCAGATGGGGGTGGCAGAGAGGTGGAGCGGCTGGTGAGGTGCATGAGTCTGGCCGCTGAGTTCAGGATGGTCTGAAGCAGGGAGAGCCTGCACTGGGGTAGGCCGGTGAGGAGGGAGTTGCAGTAGTCGAGGCGCGAGATAATCAGGGAGTGTACGAGTAGTTCAGTGGTGTCTGGGGTAGGAAGGTGCGTATTTTGGCAATGTTGCGAAGGTGGAGCCTGCATGTGTTTGTAAGTGATTTGATATGAGGTTGGAAGGAAAGGTTTGAGTCCAGAATGATGCCAAGGACTTTGGCTTGCGGGGCGGGATTGATGGTGGTGTTGTTGGTAGTGATGGATAGGATGGGGGGGGGGGGGCGCGGGGAGGGGGAAAGACGAGAAGCTCGGTTTTGGAGAGGTTAAGCTTGAGGAAATGGAGCGACATCCAGTCAGAGATGTCGTTTAGGAGGTGAGTGATGCGGGCGGAGAATGTGGGGGTGAGGGGGGTGGAGAGGTAAATTTGAGTGTCATCAGCGTAGAGGTGGTAGTGGAAGCCGTGGGAGTGTATCAGTTTGCCAAGGGAGGAGGTGTAGATGGAGAAGAGAAGGGGTCCAAGGACAGAGCCCTGGGGGAGCCCAACAGAGAGGGGGAGGGAAGGGGAGGTGGCACCGTTGTAGGAAACGCTGAAGGAGCGTCCGCATAGGTAAGAGGAGAACCAGGAGAGAGCGGTGTCTCTGATGCCAAGGGAGAGTAGTTTATTAAGGAGGAGGGGGTGGTCAACTGTGTCAAAGGCTGCGGAGAGGTCCAGGAGGAGGAGGACAGAGTAGTCGCCTTTGGCTTTGGTGGTTAGTAGGTCGTTGGTGATTTTGAGGAGGGCGGTTTCAGTGGAGTGTAGGGGACGGATAAATAAATAAAATGTTGCAGGGTGTAGTTATCAGTGCTGTCACTGCTGATTCACAAGCCTGTACAATGTGTTCCAATGAACACATTGCGTGCTCTGGATCAGTGCTTCTCCCCCGGGTCCATACGGTCTCTTCGGGGCTTCAGGATATTTGAAGGAAGTGACAGGCACAAAATCATGTAGCGGGCAGCATGACACATTGCTAGGGGGCCACAGGAAAGCAAAGTTCATTATATTATCTTCTTGGTCTATTTGCAGTGAACGCTGGCTGACATTACACTGCAAGAACTGCTCATCAAACTGCAGAGACACACAGAAGCCAAGGCAAGTTTTAAGCAATGTTCATATATTTGCCAAAAAGTTTCCAAAATTTGGGAAGAATATTTTCAATGGCATTTCCAATATCATAAGTAGTAGAATCGGCTTTCTGTCAGGAGGAGAGTTAAAGCAAACCCTCAGCCGAAAAGTTAAAACAAAACAAAACCAGCTTTTGGTACTACAATGAAAGAAATAAGTATTTGATCCCCTACCGATTTTGAATGTTTGCCCACTCACAAAGAAATGATCAGTCTAAAAATCGAATGGTAGGTGTATTGTAACACTGAGAGACAGAATAGCAACAAAAAATTCAAAAGAAATGCATGTCTAACAAATGATGCACTGATTTGCATGTTCAAGAGAGAAATAAGTATTTGATCCCCTTCACAAAACATGACTTAGTACTTGGTGGCAAATCCCTTGTTGGCAATCACAGAGGTCAGACGTTTCTTGTAGTTGGCCACCAGGTTTGCACACATCTCAGGAGGGATTTTGGCCCACACCTCTTGGCAGATCCTCTCCAAGTCATTAAGGTTTGGTGGCTGACATTTGGCAACTCAAACTTTCAGCTCCCTCCACAGATTTGCAATCGGATTAAGGTCACTCCAGGACCTTAATGTGCTTCTTCTTGAGCCACTCCTTTGTTGCCTTGGCCGTGTGTTTTGGGTCATTGTCATGCTGGAACACCCATCCACGACCCATTTTCAATTCCCTGGCTGAGGGAAGAAGGCTCTCACCCAAGATTTGACGGTACATTGCCCCATCCATCATCCCTTTGATGCGGTGAAGTTGTCCTGTCCCCTTAGCAGAAAAACACCCCCAACGCAGAATGTTTTTCCACCACCATGTTTGACAGTTGGGATGGTGTTATTGTGGTCATAGGCAGCATTCCTCCTCCTTCAAACACGGTGAGTTGAGTTGATGCCAAAGAGCTCGATTTTGGTCTCATCTGACCACAACACTTTCAACCAGTCCTCCTCTGCATCATTCAGATGTTCAGTGGCAAACTTCAGACGGGCCTGGACATGTGCTTTCTGGAGCAGAGGGACCTTGCGGGCACTGCAAGATTTCAATCCTTGTCGGCGTAGTGTGTTACCAATTGTTTTCTTGGTGACTGTGGTCCCAGCTGCCTGGAGATCATTGACAAGTTCCTCACGTGTAGTTCTGGGATGATTCCTCACTGTTCTCATGATCATTGACACTCCACGAGGTAAGATCTTGCATGGTGCACCAGACCAAGGGAGAATGACAGTTGTTTTCTGTTTCTTCCATATGCAAATGATTGCACCAACTTTTGTCACCTTCTCAACAAGCTGCTTGGAGATAGTTTTGTAGCCCAGTCCAGCCTTGTGTAGGTCTACAATCTTTTCCCTGACATCCTTGGACAGCTCTTTGGTCTTTGCCATGGTGGAGAGTTTGGAATCTGATTGTTTGATTGCTCTTGTGGACAGGTGTCTTTTATACAGGTAACAAAATGAGATTAGCAGCACTCCCTTTAAGAGACTGCTTCTAATCTCAGCTTGTTACCTGTATGAAAGACACCTGGTAGCCAGAAATCTTGCTGAATGATAGGGGATCAAATATTTATTTCCCTCATGAACATGCAAATCAGTGCATAATTTGTTAGACATGCATTTCTTTTGAATTTTTTTGTTGCTATTCTGTCTCTCAGTGTTACAATACACCGAACATTTGATTTTTAGACCGATCATTTCTTTGTGAGTAAACATTCAAAATCACAGGGGATTAAATACTAATTTCCTTCATTGTATATACAGTATTTCAATCCAAAGAGTCCTTTCAGCAATACTTGAAGCTAGATGTCCTAAATGATTGCCTGCACCCCTGTGTTCACCCTGTGCTTTAGGCAGCGAAGGAAGAAGCAGCACAGTGATGAGTTCATCTCTCTGTCACTCTGATCTCTCCTCCTATCAGCATGCTTCTTGATAGCACAACAACTGATTGGCTCCTTGTGCTGCTTCTCCCTCTCACAATCTAGCTGTGCTGTACAAGGACTGCTAATGCCAGCTCAAATTCAGGTACATACACTGCTTGCATTTACAAAAAAAAAAAAAAAATATTTCACACATGAAATATGAACATAGCATATCCCTTTCTAGTGTGTGCTTGTCTCAATCCAGAGCATTATGGCACTATGGAATGGGGCAACGGACAGTGTCATTTCTGTCCGCTGCCCCATTCCTCTGCTATCTTCATGAGCCTCTTCTGATGAGTTTTTGTGACACCAAGAGAAAAATGGTGACAGGGAAGGGCACAGCCTGTGATTGAGAGCCTCAGCTTCGCTTCCTGTGAGCTGTGTGATGAGGGGTGTGTCCCTTCCCTTCCCTCAATCAGCTTTTAGAGCTCTCCCCACTGATGTAACTTCGGCTCCCCACCCCCTGCTTCTCAGCTGAGAGATCCTGTTTAAATTCTGCACTTTGAATGGATGTAGGGGAATGGTGGCTGTAATAAACAGGTACAACTTATCTAGGAGGATTTATTTATTCTCTGTGTACCAGTCACTTCACTGGGTATATGTAAGGGCTTATAATGATGTATTAGGCCTGGTTCA